TAGCTGTTACTGTTGCTGATACTATGTACAGTAATAATGCTCCTTTGAGTATGTGTAGTTAAGGCAAGGAGCTTAATAATGACAGCAATCAAAACATCAAACCTTTGTATTCTTTACATAAATTACAGGTCAAAGTAGTAGGTTTAAAAGTAAAGCATTTTCCTAAAGACTCAAAAAAAAGTAATCCCTGTCAATCATCAGCTATGCCCCACCATACACTAGAAGTGTGTGGTGGTGTATGTATCTGCAAAGACTCTGCCTTGTGCCTGTGCGATATCTAAAGAATTAAAGCCCCAGGAATTATTACGTTTAGGCAAGTAAAGTTATGTAGGTTAGGTTTAGTAAAAGAAACATGGTGACGACGTACCTCAGGGGCCTATGTCTACACGTCTGCATCTTTTTCTCAGCACCAGGGTCTTTTTTTCAGTTGTTCCTAATGAGGAGAGAGCGTATGTGACTGCTTGCACCTAAAGAAAAAGCACCACACCCAGTGTCTTTTTTCAGAGCACTCCTGCTTTTTTGTGCGGCCGCTCTGAGCATTTTTTGGTTAAAAATCTTTGAACTTCTCAGAAAGGCACTGGTGACATCACTGCCACTTCTTTAGCTAGGCTACGGTCATAACAAAGACTGTAACGCGGGAGCAGATGGGCTGGCGAACACTCAGTGTTGTAGGTGAGTGATGTGCTTTTATCACTGTACTGTTGTGAGCTTGTTGTTGACTGTCTAGATAATGTCCTGTTAAGGTAGCATTTAGGGCTGCCACTAACAATTATTTTCATTGTCGACTAATCGGTCAATTTTTTCTTCGATTAGTCAACTAATCATTTCATCGAAAAATGTGTTAAAATGTTGAAAAATATCAGTCTGTCTCGCCCAAACCCCAAAATTACGTCATCTAATGTCTTGTTTCGTACTCACACCAAAGGGTTTTAGTTCACTGTCACGGGATAGTGTGTAAAGCTGCCAATATCTGAACGTAAGAAGCTGCAGTAAGAGTATTTTGGGGTACTTTTATAGTACTTTTCTATGAAAAATGACTCAAACCGATTAGTCGACTACTAAAACAGTCACCGATTATTTTAATAGTCCATTAGTTATCAATTAGTCGACTAATCATGACAGCCCTAGTAGCATTACATTTGCTACTAAGCTAACATTAATGTCAAGATATGGATGTTATAGAGACAAAACCCAAGTGTAGCACATCATTTTAAGGGATAAACTGTAGTGCTCCCCAGCACCCTGCCACCGCTTTTCTGCCAAAGGAAAACACTGTGGACACAGGTTCCTGAAGTAACTCAAAGTACACGTGGTTTCAGATGGGACACAAACGCCAGGCTCCTGAGGCAAAGTCCTGTGTTGTTTGACCACCATTGTCACCATCCACCACCACAACCTGCCTCATTCACAGACCTTTGGTCTTTATGCTACTTCCTTCTCTACTCCCGTCAGTGCATTGGTCACGTAATCACATCCTTCCTGTGAGTTATACACAAATTACTGGGTCGTTATTATGTGGGTAACATACGAATTGCAGTACATTACTTTTTCATAGTTATATGTACAAAAACATTTTCAGATTTTCTTCTTATTTTGCTATGTTTGAGGCATTTCTGAGTGTGTGACCCCCAGCTAATAACTGTGCAGGTGAGGTTGGAGCTTTCTAAAAAGGTAGCGATCAGGTTGCAGCAGAAGGCTTTCAAGAGAAAGCAACAAAAACTGCAGACACTGTCACGTCCAGACTCACAGGAAAGAACCCAGATGCGAAGCAGCAAGCAGATGAAGTAATCAACAGTCTTTATCGAAAACACAGGAAAATGTGTAACTGCTTCAGGCTATTCTTGTACCCGGGTCGCCGGGGGGAAAGTCGGCGGCGTTACCTCTAAGCCACGAGGTGGAGATGAGTGCCAGACAGGAGCAGAGTCTTTTAAATCACTGGTACAGCTGGGGTTTGAACCCGCAATGCCGGGAGGGGAGTCAGAGACGTAACCTCCCGTCCACGAGGAGATTACATGACTTGCAGTCCAGATGAACAGTTGCGGGGGAACAGACAGTTGGAGAGTCGGGGACAGACGAGGGATCAGATAACCAGCACAGTTGGGACTTACAGGCAGAAAGCTCGGTGTCAGAGTCAGAAGGCGAGGTCGATAGCCGGGGATCAGACGAGCAGGCAGGGTCAGAGCAGAAACAGGTCGGGATCTTGCAATCAGTCCGAGGGCAAGGCGAGCAGGCAGGAACGGGAACGAAACAGGTCGGCAACGGGTGATCAGTCCAAGACAAATTGCTGGAAAGGCTTGCATGAGAGCGAAGACGATCTGGCAACTGGTGTGTGTGGAGCTTGGAGCTTAAGTATGCTGGGCTGATTGCATGAGATGAGTTACAGGTGTGCTGAAGAACACAGGTGAGTGGAATTGCCTGATGAGATGGGTGTGGCAAGGAAAACATACTGGGTGAAGGAGACTGGAGACTGTGACAGACACAATAGTGACAACATGCAAATATAGCAGCAAGGCCAAACACCAGCAGCCAAAGCTTATTCCAAACTGAGTGAATATGGCTGGCGTTTAAAAAGAGGATGAAGAGCAGCGCAGAGTGGGTCTTTTTTCTGTTGAACAGGTAGATGCCGGCCGTTAGCTTAACTTACTAAAGTAATAGTTTTTTTCCATCATAACAACATGTAACGTTCCTACAACAGTACAGTCTCTTGGAATGTAGGTACAAGCCATGTAGGGGGATAGAGGCCGAGTTTGACTGTTGTGTTTACAGACAGTAAGCTGTAATTCTTGTGTAGAATACCTTTAATATAAAAGTGTTGCTCATACTGACAAACCCAGAGAGATTTACCACAAAACTCTGCAGTTAAGTGTTTTAGCATCTATCCAGGGCTTGACTCTAACTTTTTTTCCCAAGGAGCACATGTGCTCCTAAGTTGAAAAAGTAAGGAGCGCACAAAGAACTTTAGGAGCACAATGTAAATTGATCAAATAATGTGTTTTCCGTAATAAACGTGATGCAAATAGACATTTACAAGCAAAATTATTTAATGAATTTGTATACAAAATGTACAGAAAGGTAAAATCATCAAGTTTTGAAAAAGTATTGCAATTTAATTTTGTCTTTAATGTTATTATCTTATCTATGCTATATGATTATCTTATATAATGTTATTACTATCCTAAAACATTCTCCAGGTCCTCTGAAACTCTGCAGGACTTATTTCCACTCTGCCCAGCAGCGGTACCGTGGCAAACGGTCCCTAACTGCAGGGAGAACGGAGCAGGCTTCCCTGGAGGTCCGCCGCTTTTCCCGGTCCCTCTTCTCTGCCACACTTTGACTTATTCCCACCCAGCCGACAGCCTGGCCGTGGAGAACGGTCCCTAACTGCGGGGAAAACGGAGCAGGCTTCCCCGGAGGTCCGCCGCTTTTCCCAGTCCCTCGTCTCCACCACACTTTGACTTATTTCTACCCAGCCGACAGCCTGGCCCTGGAGAACAGTCCCTAACTGCATCAATAAGTGATTAACATAGGGTGGATCAAAATAAAATAAATAAATAAAATAAAAATCAACCAGCCACCCCCATCCCCTGACAAGTAAAGAACAGTCCCTAAAGTGCGGTGAGGTTTGTGGGCCATTACCTGCGTCAAAGAGAGAAATGTGAACAGCTCGTTTCTCCTCCGACACACCACATACCTGTGTGCCGCCACGGCTCGGTTGTCCAGGTACTACTGGGCAGTCACGACACCAACGAAAGAGGAAATTACTGGACCTGGAGTTGGACTTTTCTGTCGCCGGTAAGCCGTTATCTTGCGCCGCAGAGCACTATGAGCCTCCGCCGTATTCCTGTCTGTGACCCCCGTTCAACCCACAACCGCCAGGATTCGCCTTTCCTTTGTGCTGCTGGTTGAAACGTGATAATAGGGGCGCCCCAGCACCCACTCCACTAACTTGATGTGGGAATGAGCGGCAGTCTAGAAAACTGGCGAGTTTTTTTTTTGTTTGTTTGGTTGCTTGTTTAACAAAAGTTAGCGACCAGCTGGTGAACATAGTGGGGCATTTAGCAACTCCAGACTTAGGTTTTGCTAACATGTTTGCATATCAACTTCCTTGGGTCATAATATGTCAATTCAAGTTCCTCTTTATTTTCCTGGGATGGTTTGCTAATAAAATCTTTTGTGCTTTAGTTGTCCTGGACATTTCTTGACCTGACAGAAGATCATCTACATTTGTCCATTTCTGCTTGGTAAACAAAAAGGACCAATCAACCTGATGTTTGCTGCATTATATCATTGTTAAGAGTTCCAGGTAGCATTTCCCTTGTGATGTGACGGATTCACAAGACCGAACTAATGACAGCACTCGTGTTCCTACTTGCACACCCTCACACGTATGCACACACACACCTACACAGCCATTACCTTCTCCTCCCCATTGTCTTCCCTGGCAGCAGTTCCCATTGACACAGATGGTGACAAGAGAATGAGGTACAACGAGAGACAGAGACACACAGAGGGAGCTGATTCCATGAGTTTATATCAGCTCTGTTCCTCCCTTCCTCTGTCCATACATTTTTCCCCATCAATCACATGTACCTGCTCCATATGTCTATCCTTCCGCCATCCAGCCATCCATCCCTCCTTTACCATCTATCAACCCCAGCCGCCGTCTATCCATCAAGGTTCTATATGGACTCTTAGTACCGTCTTAGAGCTCCAACCAGCTGCTATTCATCCTCTCAATCCACCCATTTGTCAGTCTGTCCCTGAAACCAGATCCTGGCTTGTATCATGACCTTTTAAGCACCTATTAATTTCTGATATGTGACCTTTCAGTCATCCATCTTTTCCCCTCCATCCATCCATTCATCCATCCATCCACTCATCCCCTGCCCCTTGTCTCGTCACAAGGTAAAGCTGTGCAGATTCCTTGTATATTTTTTTGTTGAACTCTTAGTGATTTAATCCACCCCCTTCTCAGGATCAATAGCAAAATGAACACTTACCAGCTGCATGCCACAGATGAAGGCCAAGGTGCACCTGCCACTACAGCACCCCATGATGTCTTCCTCCTCCCTCTCTCTCTCCAGCGATCCACGTGGAGACGAAACTCTGGGTAAAACTCCCAAATCCTCCAGCTGGAACCTTCGAAATCCAAAAAGCCCCCTGGAGGGCCGTCTGGCTGGCTGGCAGCCCAGGTGGAGGCTCTCGCTGCTCGGCCTCGGCGAACAGAGCGCAGCCCCTGTACTCGCTGGAGCTCGGGGGAATAGAAAAAGGGGCCACTACTTCATTGAAATGGCTCGGGTGCTGACAGGTAAACAGCCTGAAACGTGGTCCTTTGGATTTCCAACACACATGGGGTCAGGGATCAAAGGATGGACGGTGGGCCTTGGGGATAATTCAAGTCCACGAATTGTTCTTGGTGTATCCAGGAAGCTTGTGGGGGGGAAACCTTGAAGGTAGTGTCTGATCAATCAGGTGCTGTGGTGCATTTTGATTAATTGGGAAGGGTTAATTTCTGATCATGTAAATGCCTTCACCAATGAAGCAAAGGTTACAGTGACCCTCCAGCTATGTCCACACAGGGGCAACTTGTCCAAGCATCACCTACTGGACCACAAAGTCTCCAATCACGTCGATTAGTCGCATCCTTGTCACAGATCTAGCACGGTACAGTAGCCACTTAGAGGAGCAGAGATGCTGAGATTAGATGGATATATTCCCCCAGATTAAAGCCTCTTTTGTTTAATAATCCGATTAAGCGCCACTTGGATTTGGCTGATTGAAACAGCCTAATTTGTTTTAGGGTGGAGAAGACAAGTGAAAGTGGTCCCTGCCTCCTGGATCCTGCCTCCTCTCACAGACCTGCTCCTCTCCTCTCCTCTCAGGGGAAGTAACGGGCATGTAGCGGCAACATCTTCTCATTCACACCGGAACCAACACACAACGTGTTTTATCCCCACAAAACAACGGTTGTGATTCAGTATCTTTGTGTCCTCTCTCTGAATGTGGTGTTTTATCCACTCAGGAGACGCTAAGTAAAATTGTTGCTAGGATGTTGTGATATGTCACCAGCCCCTGGACGCTGATTTCGGCGTTTCTGTCGGATAACAAGTCCTCCTCCTCCGGTTCAGCTCCTCCACAACACCGCCGCCGTCCTGTCAGCCGTTACTCGGTTCATTCACCGCCTCCTCCGTTACAGGAAATAAATCTTCTGAGACGTTAAATTAAAATAAAGACATGAAAGCGTGTCCACATTCCGGCTGGACAGGGACAGGGTGAGATTTCGGGTCGAGGTAAGTCTCCTGACGTAACGTGCGCGAGGCGCTGTGAGCGGAATAACGGTTAAGTTTAGTTTGTCGTGTCCCGGTTGTCTTCAAGGAGCGGAGAGGGGAGACAATGGGAACCGGGATGGACCAACGGACCGAGAGAGACAGCCGAGAGGAGCGTCTCTCGCCTGCCATCTGTCAAGTCAAACACCGCGCAACAACACGGCTTTTCCGGTTAGGGTTTTCAAAATAAAAGCCCCTATGTTCCTGACTTGGGAATGAACCTGCAGCTTTATTGTTAGTAGCTCCTCATTAACAGAGCTCTCAAAAATTATCCAATCACTTTCACATACATAATTTAGACTGCAATTTTTTGTGGAATCAGGTAGGTGCTGATTTTAGTTGCTGATGCTTTAACACAGTGGTTCCCATCTGGTGGGTCGTGGTCCAAAAGTGGGTCGCTGGATATTTTGAATGGACCATAATTAACTTGCGAAACATGTCATGTTTGTATAAAACACTTTATTTCAAAGCACAGTAAATTTCTGGCACGTTGTTTCCTGCTGTAGAGTGAGTGACAAAGGGACAGCTAACTCAAGTATGACGCTGAAAATATTAAACTGCATGGACTCTGAACCAATGACTAAGGAAAAATCTGGACCCCGTGGCTGGTCCAGTGGGGAACCACTGCTTTAACATACAAGCAAGGCTGGTTATCAAAACTGAGATCCCAGTACCAATGTACCACAAGAGATTACTAAACTGGTACCAATGTAAGGGTCCAGATCATGGGTGCAGATCTGATGACAAGTTTGGGGGGGGACACAATCAGTTGTGATTTTTTTTAATTGCACGCGTGCAAATCATGCCCACAGAGCGCTTGAGATTGCCAGCATATTTCACAATTTCATAGAAGCTCATCACCATCACCAAGTCATTCAAAACACACTACAAAGAGAATCATATGCTTACCTTTACTGTTTATTTCTCTTAAACAGCCAGTAGTACATGGAACCAGCCATCACCCTCCTTTTCACTGCTTCGCTGTTAGTTAATGCTACTTCTAGTTTCAGGGTCTCAGGCATGTTATGTCCACTCACGTTTTCATCTCTCGCCTCTCACAGATTCCCATTTCTCCTCATCATCTTCCTTTTCTCCCAGTATATAGGACTACTGTATACATTTGTTCAATTTTAATCATTTAAGCTATTTAGAATTGGGGACAATTTGTGTTTTTCAGAATTTGGGGGGGACGTGCCCCCCCTGTCCCCACCGGGATCTGCACCCATGGTCCAGATGATGAATATCTCTGGAGGCGATCTCCGTTTATTCCTGACAACTCTGACAGCAAGAGGTAAAAACAAAATCCTCCGTCAATTCCAACCATATAAACTTGAGCCCCTACACAACTTAAGTGACACAGGAATATGTTAGCATATTATACAATAAGTTTAGGCTGAAAAATGAACTTCACAACAATAATAATCATAATAACTTTATTTATATAGCACAATTCATGCATGAAATGCAACACAAAGTGCTGAACATAAGAGACAATTGAAGCATTTATGATAAAAAAAGGGAAAAAAATTATTTCAAAAAGTATGATAAAAAGAAATAGAATAAAGTAAAATTCAGTTAAATGTGTTAAAATGTTGGTGATTACAAAATATATTCTTTTCGGTAACAAAATAAATAAATAAATAATCAACCTATAGATATAACATTTATTCTGTTGCTTTGCGTCTGTTAGCCATACAGGATACTTTTTGGGTTGGGGGGGGTTGATTTTTTTTTTTTTTTGAGGGTTGAAATGGAAAAGTTATACAGCCAGTAGTGTAACGATTTACTCTACGTAAGTACAGTAAGTAAAGCATTTAACATTCTTTTTGAAAAGAGTAACGACTAACAAGTAATCTATTATATTTTTTGAGTTAGGAGCCTAACACTGGACCCCAATAAAGTACATCATTTGATAAATTTTTTTGACAGAGTTTAAGTTATAAAAATAATTATCAAATAAGCGTACAAAACTGTACGTGCTAAACTGCCAACTCAGTCAAATACACCACCCTCGACCTCACCACACCACAGACTGTAAGGTGTGAAGCTGCTGAGGTTACGGGCCTATCACACCAATTAAATAAAAAAATGCTTGCTGAAATTGACTGCAAGGAAAAGCATACAAATAGTTATTTTGGGGGGAACAAAAAGGATCAGATGCAGGTATCAGTTGACTGGAGAAGTTTTGATACTACATGGTACTGGTTTATCCTAGTCCATACTGTAAAGGTATCAATAAGTACCCAGCCCTATACACAACAGGCTGTCTCAGAAATATTTTTACTCCACCACTTTCTCATTGCCTCAGCTGACCCTAGAAGTACGCACTGGTCCACTGGGTTGCTGTAACAAAGACCTAATCTGGGACTCAAGCTGGGCTGGCTGCAGTACACTTTATTGAGTCTATTTGGGTCTGGGCTCGGTCCCATTTTACTGCAGCAGGTTTCTGGCCTTAATGTGCCAGTAAAGCCATTAAAGACCAGAGGGAATGGTCCCTATATCAAAGGGTAATCTTTACTTGTTTAGTTTGACTCTATTTGGACCAGGTCTGATTGCCCTCTGGTCTCTGTAAGATTGGGCTTCTCTCTTTTGAAATTAACTTGTGCACCTCAGATTCATCAGGTTTTCTGCTTGAGTTCAGCATTTTTGGACCTTTGATTACTTTGTTGCTCCAACATCTCTAATCCAAATTGCCCAAATTGGTCTGGCTACGTGCACTGGAGCTGTGCACTATGTTTGTGCTGGATTGTGCACCTTGCTAGAAATCATAGGCTTTAAGATTGTATAGGGGGTAACAGGGGACACCTCAGTGCAGTTTAGCCTATGCAGTCTTTATTTGTGGAATATTTTCACCAAATTTGATCCTCTGAATGTACAGCAAGGACATGAACTAAACATTCAGTGACAAAAACAGTGTCGCTTAGTGTAGACTGAGAGCTTGTATATTTCTGCCTGGTACCTGACAATGATATTCAACTGTAAATTGAGCTCTGCATCTATTTTTGTCTGCTCTGTGTTGTTATTATTAGGCTAATTATAGCCTAGATATTTTTAAAGAGGCAGTTCACCCCAAAATCGAAAACACATATTTTTCCTCCTACCTGTAGTGCTGTTTATCAATCTAGATTGTTTTGGTGTGAGTTGCAGAGTGTTGGAGATATCAGCTGTAGAGATGTCTGCCTTCTCTCTAATATAATGGAACTAGATGGCACTCAGCTTGTGGTGCTCAAAGCGCCAAAAATACATTTGAAAAACTCAACAGCAATGTCTCTTTCCAGAAATCATGACCTGGATACTCAAGATAATCCACAGACCTTGTTGTGAGCAGTTTCATGTAAGAACTATTTTCTTAATACCGAACTACACCTGCCGATATTCTTTGACTTAGTGCCCCATAATGACGTTACATACTCAACACAAAGTTATGTAGGTTAGGTTCAGGCAAGTAAAGTAACTGTGGTGAGGTTTAGGAAAAGAAACATCGTGAGGGCGTATCTTAAAATGACTCACATAGTTCTGAACACTGGTCTCCTGGGTGAAAGTCCTAAGTTTTGTGGCCTGTCCTCCTACCCAACCTGCCTTCTCACGGGGACTGCTTCCTTCTTTACGACCATCTGCTGTTAAAAACCCTCAGCTTCCCAACAGGTCGGTTGACAGTCGACTGACAGCAGCAGCTTTCCTGTCCTCGGCCTACAAACCTCTAGTATTGTGTTTGTATATTTTTCTCATGTGTCTGATGTGTCCTAGGGAGCCAGATTTAGTAAATGTCTTCTTGTTTCTTTGTTGTTTTTTTTTGTTCCACATGGGTGTAGTTAGTATGTTTGGTGTTTAGATTGTTGCTTTGTTGTTTTGCCTTGGTCCACCCTGAGTTATTTTTGCTTCACATTATTGTTAAACTACGTCAGTTTCTCACAGTGATAAATAACTTCACTTTAAACTGAAAGTCCCGCTGTGAGCTGTCTGGTTTGGGGACCAGCGAGGGAATAGCCACACACACTTTTATGTTGCGCTTCTTCTCCCTTAGACGGGGGCATAACATCCATCAGCCCATTTGGTCATATGATCATAGCCTTTCCAAGTGTGTGGGTTATACACAAATTACTGACTCTTGGGGAACCCACTGGCTCACCTAGACAAAGGCTGTGTCCTTATTGCAGTGGCTGCAGGTTTGATTCCAACTGTCGACCTGTTGCTGCATGTCATTCCCTCTCTCTCTCCCCCTTTCATGCTGTAGCTGTCCTATCAAATAAAAGCCTGACTGAATCACAGCACAGAACTCATGGACGAGAGCCTTGTGCTTGTGAAAGCGTGAGATGTAAACATTAATGGCGTCCTCTTTAGCTGAGCTGTAACGCTAGCTCAGTGGTGCTAGGTGAATAGATGCACACTTCCTTCTGCGCGGTGATACAGTTGGTGGGTGTAATTTGGTAGAAAAAAAAATAGTTGCAGAAAACAAGCTGAGTGTCATCTAGTTCCATTATATTGGAGAGAGTATCTCAAGCTTTGGACTCTCTTGTGCTTTTATTTTGAATGCTGGAGCATCCTACTTCCGTCCCTGTTGTGGCTGCCTGTGTTTGGCTTGATGAGGCTGATGTTCCGCTCGGCAGGGGAGCGGCGGGGCTCCTTTCACTCCCTGACACTCACAAACAGAGACAGAGGGAGATGTGGCTGTGGTCGGCGTGCAGCTGCTCCAGAACATGGATAATATAACCACTGTTATATTCTAACTGTGTCTCAGTGGGGAGTCATGTGTGAGCTGTCAAGAAAATCATTTTATCCTTATTTCTCATTCACCTAATTGAAGGCTGAAGGGTTTCCTCATAACCTGCCATTAACGCTGAATATCTGGGGGGGAAAAGTATTTAAAATTTTCATGTAGCATATTAAAATTGCTCACAACTATCCATCAATTATTAGAAAGAGCCGTGGGTTAACACTTCAAAGGGTGATTGGCTCACTTATGAATGACACTTCATTTAGCTCAGCAGCTTTGTGTCGTTCCCACAGTGGCTGGAGTTCAGTGAAGGCATCACAGCTGCAGACTACAGCCAAATTAAGCAACACAATACTCCTGAAAACAAGCAATTAAAAGTGAGGAATGTGTGCGCGCGTGCGTGTGTGTCGTGGGGTCACTTGTGCCACGCCTATGA